TTGAAGATGTTATCAATTGTCAAAACTGATGTTATTCATAAGCTATACGACCCAGTGTTATAAAAAACTATTATTACCTATACGTTATTCGAATTTAACATCACAGCATGCTATATTCTTTGTTAATGGAAGATTATGACTATCGATTTTTTGTGTAGAGATTTCATGTTAAAGTTTAGGATTAGAGGAAAGTTTTGGCAATAGTTAATATCTGGCTATTAGAGGTCTAGAAGTAATCTAACAATCCATGTTCGTTTTATGAGATATTGCTGAAATGTTGTATTCCACAGGATGACTGAGAGAATTTTGTTCGGGCTAATAGTATTTCGAGTACGAGTTTCATTGACACTCAGTTTCAGAAAAATATCCATATAATTTTTTAGCAATTCGTTTAAATGCTCATTTGCATGAAATTTTCAATGAAAAGTAATCGTTGCAAACCATTTCATCTGAACTGAATTCTTGTGGAATTCAAACATGTACAATAGAGATATTATCGACACGTGAAAGGAAACAAAATCGTCATTAGGTAAAATTAGATCATCTTCAGTATCAAAATCATCTTTGATATTTCCCTTGTACTCCACTACTATTAGATACTTTCTCCAAGATATTTGTATTCGATAATTCAATTAAATACCTTTTTTAAACACATGGCTGTTGAATTTCTTTCGACTGTTATGATATGTAAAGTACATAGTTATTTGTTAATGTTTCATCAAAACTTTTGTTATGGATGATTGTAGATACATTTTTGTTGTGAGATTTGAAGAGAAGGAAAATTCTTCGCTATTCGTTTTATTAATATTTACTCGGTTTACTCATCCGTTGAACGTTTTTAGTGTAGTTTTTAAACAATTTTTTAATGAGAGGTTAACAAAATGTGCTTTATGGAATTGTAGAATAGCCATTTTCTTGAAATTTTGAGGGTTGGCAGGGGTAATGGTATAGCTATTGTTAAATAATAATTAAAGAATATAATGTTCAAAACATATTTCTTTACTACAAACATCTGTACATTTTCTTTATTTATTAGATTATACTACTGGTGAACATTTAAGCTAGTTTCTAACAATTTTTGTTCATATATTTTATTTCTGTTGGTAATATCGACAATTATTATGTTTTGTTAATATTTTTGTTAGTACTACTGCCGGCAAAAAGTATTTTGTAGCTATAGCCCCCCCTAACTGTATATTTTGTATTTACCGTAGGTTTTTTCGTTGTAATCAAAGTGCAATTTTTTAGAAACCGTAACAAAAATATTTACAAATGTATTCAATTGTTTTCTGCACCAGTAGAAATTATATATATTTTTTGTATTCATATTTTGGTTTCATTTATCCTGAAAAAAAATCAACTGGTTGTCATCTCAAACTCAAGTTTACAATAAAAGACTTCCGTCTTCCCGTGTTAGGAATCACACGTTAATCCTTAACTCGGTCTACATTGGAACCACGAAAAGAAGTGTGGATTCCCGTCTCTCTGAACACAAGAGAAGTTGTCGACTCGGAAAAACCGACAAATCAGCTGCAGCCTAACATGTTTCTAACAAAGAAGTGGTTGTTTTTGAAATATCTGCCATAAATTACACTTGTCGAATTCCATACAGTTCTTACATTGAATAATAGTTCCTATACCATCTGTCTGTTTTTCAACTTTTATCTTTTTTTTTGGTACCTTGGGAGCTGTCTGACTTGTCCATTTAGTCCAAGTCTTCAGAAAACACCTCTTGGGCTCATATATATATATATCCATGGCATATTCATAGCATAATACAATATCCTTAAATGTATATTCATGAAATATACCTGGAATATATATTGCTATGTGGGATGTGATCCATGCACATATTCAATATGTGTTCATTATCACACATATTATGTGTAAAGGAGGTAGATTCAGGAGTGTCTCCACTTCAGCTGTTGGGGTATAGTTCTTATCGCTCCCGTCATTCCCAAACATGCAAGTCTTTGCACCTTGCCTAGTTTGTTGATGGCGGTTGCTTGCTTCATCTTTGCCCACCAGACCAGAGATGCGTATGTTATTATGAGTTTAACCACCGCGTCATGTATAGCCAATATACCATGTCTGGTTTTAGCCCCCATGTTTTTCCATAGGTGCGCCTGGCGAGCATCAGTGCTACCTCCGCTTTCCTCTTCATCCTGTCCAAGTGCTGGTTCCAGGTCAGTTAGGAATCTATAATTACTCCCAGATATTCAACCTCCCCCGACACTTGTATTTCTTCACCTCGAAGTTTCAGAGGTCCGAGACCCTTCGTTTTAGTCCTCTTGGTGAATGCTACTATGGTCGATTTGGATGGGCTTATGTTAAGCCCTTCTTCTTCGGTCTATCTTGCTATAATATTCAAGGCCTGCTGCATGTATCCCTTCACTACATTACTGTATTTACCCTGGACTAAGATTACTAGTCGTCTGCGTAGCCCAGTGCTTTATTCCCATTATGGTCCAAGAGACATACTAGCTCATCCATTACAAGATTTCATAACAGAGGGGATAGAACCCCACCCTAGGGACAGCCCCTTGTTACCCGTGCCACGACTGTTGCCCCCATAATGGTTGTATATACCAATCTTCCCCTAAGCATGCAGTCTATCCACTTACAGCTTGTCTTGTCGATCCCCCTTCTCCTCGACGCCTAGTTGATTCTAACGAAGTATTGTCAAATGTTCAAGAAAGCAATCTTATTTGTTTACTCAATGAATTTTAAATTTCATTTTTGGTAAATATATCACTATAGTTTGTTGTCTTGAGATTGTCATATTGTTTCCATCAAATGTATATGTCTATAGAAAGAAGTCTTATTAGTGATATAACACAATACAAGTACTCCAATGCCTAGGTAATAGTTACTCATTCAATATAATTGAAATCTAATAACTATGTTAAACAACAAATTGTATATTATTGAAAATAAATTTGATTTAAAATTTGAATCTGACAGACTCTGTCCGTATTACCGTATTACCGAGGTAGCAATAGTGGTATCAGCTAAAAAGAAACGTTCTGTATAGTGCCAACAAACAATGATTCATCATTAAAACAAGAACTAATGTTCCTCGTTTCCTGCTTAGATCATACTCCAGTGAAAAGCTCTAGTAATGAAACAAATTTGCATCAAAAACAATTAGTATGTATAATGAAGTGCCGGTTAGCCTGAGGCGGGGAGAGGGGATTTTTTTCTATATCTGAAGAAACGATCTGCATGTACACCTCGACGATTTTGCCAACCGTGAACGGTGATCATGTTCAACTCCCAAGCCAAGAGCTCTGTCAGGGCTTTCGACCTTCGAAAAAGAGGCAAAGAGGTACGTACGCTAGTCAGCCGCTGTTCAGGTCCCTCTTAATCATAACCTAACCTAACCTAACCTCACAATCAAACTACGTGGAATATCGTATGGAATTAGAGTTACGTCGAAATATCTGCACAACCAGGCTACAAAAACAATCGGTTGCTCGCTACGGAATTATTTTTTGGGGTAGCAATCGAAATATCGAAAAAATCTTCAACAACAAGAGGAATCAACAACTTAAATTATAATCAAACTTGCAGAACAGTATTCAAATCCTCCAATATAATGACAATCTAAGCGATTTATATCTATGAATGCCTAATGTTCATTTATAAAAATTCACAGCTCTTCACTGAGAATATACCTGCTCATAAGTATCCCACTAGAACAAATTAATATATGTATTGTATACACTTCATAGACTAAAACAGCAACTGAAAAAAGTGCCCTCTATATGTCAATCAAGCTTTTCAACCATCTTCCTAATAGAATAAAACGGACTAAGAAAATTCGATTTTTCAAAAGAGAACTAAAAAAGCGTCTACTCTGGAATGAATGTGTTTATTATTATTATTATGACAATCTAATGAGTTGATAATGGTATAAGAGGGACAAGTCTTGAATGGTTCAAATCGTACCTGAAAGGTAGTACCCTGAAGCGTGGTGCCTCAGGGATGTGTTCTAGGGCCAAGTTTATTCCTATTATACATCAACGATCTTGCTACAGTCGATATTGAAGGGTCATTCACAATTTTTGCCGATTATACCACATTGTTATGGCATGAAAAAAATATTAACAATTTGAAGCAAATGATATCACTAGATTTAGAAGAAGTCAAACAGTGGTTTGATTCTAACACACTGTCCGTGTATAATGAATAATTTCATAAGAACTTCGTTTGAATAATCAATATTTGCATTCATTTTAGGCGATTTTTTGAAACACCGTCAATAACCATTCATCAATTAGTTATAAAAGTCACCAAACTGTCATAAGCTTGATATTTCCACGGCTACCTAGAATTCAAATTCTTTAAAAATTATTTTTTGTACAACTGTTATTGAAAATCTCTGATAGAAACGCTTCAATCAGAACACCTACCAAAAAATCATTTAGAAAAGTTCACACATGCAGTTCGTGCTATTGGTAATATTAAATCCCTGTGAAGTTACTGACGATGACGAAGTAGTATTCAGTCCAACTGTAGATAGTCCTTCATGACTAACCAATAATCCTCCTTGAAATAACGTGAGTTGGCGTATGTATGCTGAAAATATTTCAGATCGATAGAACAGGTAAGGAAATGTGAGAGTTGAAATTTTCAGAAAAATCATGCTTTGCGTTTTCCAGAAACGTCTAACCTACCATCAACCATGAGTCACGCTGTATATGCGTATTGTATTTGTAGCATCTTACTTTGTGTTCTGTTTTATTTGTATGAACATTAGTTCTTTTTTGCCATGTTCATCAAATGGCAGGAGACTTTCTTTCACGAAGCTGAGGAACCATACACAAAAATGGTGCAAGTCATAGCAAGCCGGGGACCTTTGCAAATGCTGACCAGTTTATCGCGCGATCCGTCAAAAAAGACCACGATTTCTTCCTTGGGGCATAATTAAGCCAAATGAACGGTCTGATATCATCAGCGGCGGTCGACGACAACAACAACGAAGACATCTGCGAATCGCCTTTCGCAGCTATCTGGTTCTTCAGTCCGCCTTCAAAGTCTCGACCATCCTGTGTTGCAATAGATGGGCCCGAGGCGATCGGCAGAACAATTGAAGACTACGACTCATTAGCCAGTTAAGTGATGCGAAAAAACGCCTGAGATCCGTGATTGCATCGATTTGATTGCATCTGCGGGTGTGATGTGACCGGTTGAGTTTTCGGAGAGAGTTGGATTTTTCGGAAAATGCTAGCGAGTTCCTCGTTTGTTAGAATGGCAACTGGTTTGGCTGTTTTGGGTATCGTCAGGGCGCTTAGCATAGACAATCAGCTGACGCCACTCGTGAGCGGTAAGTCTACAGACAATGAGAGAAAAAATATTTATTTTTTTCTCGAAATTTGCGTTTTTTTCTTCGAAATATCCACTTTTCCTAAAATATAGATATCTCTAGGTTTTTTGTAGTGACTATTTTGATTGTCTCGAAAAAATCAATGTTTCAAGAAAAAGGACGAGATTTCGAGAAAAAATTCAAATTTCTGACAGAAATGTGAAGATTTCGAGACGAAAAATTCATATTCTGAGAAAAATTTAGGGTTTAAGGAAGAGGAAGGTTCAGAAAGGAATCGTGAAAAAAATGTAATGATATCAAAACAATAATTCAAAAAAAGCATGGCTTCGAAAAAAAA